ATCGATGTGAACCGGAGAAACGGTCTTTTTGAAGCAGGTTTTAATTGTCGATCGTGTTTTACTGTTGTGACGAATATTTAAGCAGTCTAGGCATACAGGGTGGAGTGAATTTAATAAAAAGAAAAGGAAAGATTCTATGTATTTCACCAACACTTTGAAAATTACAGGTTTATAAACAAAATAAGTTTACAACAATACAAGGTGTTTTATTTAAAATAAAAATGTTGCTGTTCACTTCCGATATAACCGGAAATGACCTCTGGAAAATATCGTATAAGTAGTTTCCGATATACAGATTGAACCAAATTAAAACGGAACATACAATTTAATACATGTCTGTTTGAACTGCATTTGAAATAGTGGACCAATATAAAACTTGGACAAAAATAAATCCATACCTGGGTATAGACATTGTATAAAATGTCGTTCAACTATCTGTCTACTTTAAGAACGCACCGTAGTCTAAGAGCAACGCCCAAAGTCAATGTTGCCAATCGCCGTATAATAATCCGATTTGCGGATCTGTTTGAGAGTTATATCTGCTTCGTATCTTTAAATAAATCGGATATTTGCCTATATTTTTCATTGTATTTACCAATCTACTACAACAGACTAATAACAAAATAAACTTAATGTAGTTATTTCCTTTCTTTTCTGTAAATACATATTTTATGGTTTACAGGAAAGAAACACCTTATTTGAGAAACAGCTAGAGGAATGAATAGCGGCAACACCGCTCTGGGCAAGAGCTGGTCAAGGAAGCGAGAGTGGTTTGACAGCATAATAAAATCTAGTCTAGTTTTCACAGTGATTCTAGGCTGTAAGTCGCTGTAATGCCGCTGTTGCAAGATTTAAAATATTCCATCAGTTTCAAAGAATATTTCAAATTTATAATAAAATAATTATTATGGAAGTTCTTCAAACAAAAGAAAATATATTTGGTTATGTTGACTGCTCTAAACTAATCATTCCCCCAAAGTTCATTAAGTCAAAGTAAAATAGATTTTTACTAAGTAGTACTTGTAGAACTGCAGTACAGATAAGCTCGATATCATAAAGAATTTCTACGTCCTTGGAAATCAATATATTGCTGTTCCAGAAGTATAAACACATAATTGTAAAATTTTGAAAAATGATTTTATTGTGTTGGATAGTTCAAAACTGCATTTTCTATATATTTTTAAATCATCATAACTGTACTTACGGAATCACCGGTCATGGCGAAATTCGTAAGTACAATTACGACGATTTACAAATATGTTGAAAATGCAGTTTTGATCCTTCCAACACAATATTTTTCACAAAGTCATTTTTAAAAATTTTACGGGTATGTCATTTTACTTCCGAACAGCGATATATCCTATCACTTTGCCATCGTTGTTTGAAAGTGGAATCTTATTTTGTCTTTCAAAATTATGATTCGACTGTTACTGTTCCTGTCTGTGAGTAGGTATCTTAGCTGGGTGTAACATATATTCTACTCTTTTATATTCTGCAAGCATTTGAGTACCATCTTATTTGCAGAAACTATATAACAGGCCTCCTAAAATCCAGCTTTGGTTTGATTCTTCATGCTTTAGTATTAAAAACAAAACTTAAATTTTAAACTTAAAAAACTTAAGATATGTAAAAAACGTAACTTTCTTGAACCTTTTAAAACAGAATATTAAATAGCTGAGAACATTTATATCGCATGTTAGGATTCGATCAATTAATTTTGTACTCAGCCTGAGGTCTTCTTTAAGTCAATAAATCAAAATTTGCCTTAAAGGAAATCTGTTTTTATATATCATATTGTATATGGACGTTTTCATATTATGAGAACAATTTTTGACGTTTCTGGTTTGTTTACTTTTGTGGTTGTCAGTTTGTTGACTATTTTGCTATTTTTTGTCCTGTTTTTACATTTTGGAATTATTTATATTACACAAACAGTTATTTTCACAACTAACTTTATATTGCAGTTGAAAATTTTATGGTAAGTGTATTTTAATTTGCCCTTAATTTTCCTTAAAGTTAACCTTATTCACACATATTGTCATAACCATTTTCTGTTACTTTTTGTTGCTTTGAGTAAATTTCCGACAGATTTCGTATGTTTTAAATCATGACGCACGGGTAAAGATAAATTTACTCAACTGAAATACGTTGTTATTGAATTCGTTATTGATCGAATTTCATGGCATGTGATTTCTCTCATCAATCGTGAGAAAAATAAATAAATAACGAACATTTTCCTCCGGTTGGCAACACTGCTGAAATGTACAAGTGTAGGTTTCAATTTTTATACGTGATGGGCGGGGCAACCTTTTTTCACCTGTTTTAAACAACGAATTCAGAATCCAGCCGTACGTTGAAGTATTGGATTTGTATAATATAATTATTTGACAACCTTTTGTTGGCTAAGCACCTAAAGCGAAGTAGATCCGATATACATGTATTTCCTATGTTCCGTTTTAATTTGGTTCAATCTGTATAGATAGTGAAATCTCATCGTGACACACCCTGCATAAATTTAGAGAAACCTTCGTATATGTACCGGGTTTCTCATTATATTTTGACCCCACTTATTTTCCTTAATTTCGGAAATACAAAAAAACGTTTCAAATAAAAGTTGTATTATTTTATCTGTACCGACCAACAATATAGCAACAGACCAAATTTTGTATACAGGGAGTGCCCAATAAAATGCATCTTCAATATTTCAAATGGGACACCCTGTATATTTTTATAGTTTTGAGTAGCCCTGCATTTCCTGATTACAAATATATAACATTGTGTAGTAAATAGTAAGGAAAATTTGAGAACGAGACTAATTCTACTATTCAAAAAAAGAGATAAAAAACAGTCAGAAAACTACAGAGGTATAAACTTGTTAAATACTACTCTAAAACTTACAACTAAAATTTTACAAGTGCTAATAAATCAGAGGATAAGTTTATAAGCATATGAACAACAGGGTTTTGGTAGTGGAATATCGTGTAGAGATGCAATATTCGTTTTAAAGCAAATTAATCAGAAATCACTAGAGTAATAGACCAGCATTTCTGTGTCTGATTTACTTAAACAAAGCGTTTGACAGAGTAAGACTCCAAAAGTGTAATCCATCTTCTGTATAATAGAGAAGTTCTCCTAAATATTATAAAACTATCGAAAACATGTACCAAAACAACAAAATGTGACGAAGAAGAAGAAGTTTCTTGTAGATAGATATAAAAATGAAAATTAAATTGCTTTTAAAATCATTTAAATGGTTTTAAAGCTATAGGCTATTACTAAATTCGTTGCTATAACCATTAATTATAAACCACTACGGTTACTGACATATTTGAAATTTTTTCTCATGAATTTTTATCTACATATTTTTTTTATTTACAGGATCTCGGTAGTTTCTTATTTGATAAGATGATAAGCAAGCTTTAAATACATTCGACAAGTAAAGTTAATACACATACTTATCTTTTTAACCTACTGCACAGTCAAATATTATGAAGGATTATAAAAATATTTATTTAGATTTTTAGAACATTAAAATCTGATCAGGTTAGCAATAAGCAGTTTATTTTTTTCTTTTACAAAATTTTTTCTTTTCCAATTTACAAAAATAGAAATTTTTGGGAAATTCTATTCTTAAATATTATCTAAATATTTGGGTATTCTAGTAAAACTTAAAATTGTTAAGAATTGTATCAATTAATTTACCACTTGATTTTATTTTTTCAAAAGTATATTTTTTAACCAAAGTACTTTCAAAATTGTGTGTTCCACTTATTGTGTTCAAACAAGAGTCGGAAAAAAAAGTTTTGATAAAAGATGCTTATGTGGGTTGGAATGTTTCAAATAAATAAAAACGTTAATTTTGTTTAAAGTTTAAACTTTAAACTAACAAAAAGTTTAATTACTATTAAACTTTGAATAAGCCACAATTAAAGATAAAAATACTGTAGTATTTTATATATATTCAAATGTAGTCCTAAAAGAAACAGATGGTAAAAAAAGAGAAAATCAAAGAAGCGGCTCTAATTATGCTAAATGAGGCCAATTGTGTCGCAAATTCCTCGTCAGAATGTAGTAGGATCTGGTTACCAATATTGAAAGAGGAAGTTATTAATAAGAAAATACCAGTATTAGTAAGTCAGTAACATATAGAGGATACAGCATTTATGTTTTTTAAATAACGAAACATATAAAATCAGAATTTTGGTGTTTATTGAAGGTAAACTAATTGCACTAACAAATACTTACCATGTCGGGATAGTATTATGAGGTTTTTTTCCTGGTTTTTCACTTATAATTTACTATGAGAAGAGAATTTACAGGAGAATTTTACTGTCATCATGTCATGTGTTTGTCTTTTAAAAGACGAATTATATGCTATGATTTTTTTCTGACGGTTATTCTCAAGTTAAAGTTGATTTCATGTAATCGAATGAACTATCTTATAAGTAAAGTCGTCCCAGGAGCGCAACTCAACAATATTGGCAATATCATTTTAAAGTCGTCTACTTTAAAATGCATAATGTATGTCTGAATTGTCAATATAAATGAGTCAGATAAAATTAAATTATTAGAAGAATTTTTCACTATGTAACAAAAACAAAATTTGTTTAATTTACTGTTTGTATTTTGAGAACTATTTCCGAAGTGGAAATTGAAACGTCAATAAACGTATTTTTATCTTTAATTGTGGCTTATTCCCAGTTAAATAGCAATTGACTCCTAAATGATATAGGCACAACCTTATAAAGGGCAATGCCTAGAGTAACCTCTAATTTCTTTTATGGCACTTTTAAGGTGCAAAAACGGTGTTTTTTGATTATTTTTTCTTATTGTATCAAACCAATATCTTATTAGGGTAACATGAGCAGAATATTGAATGAAAGTACATTAAAAATTAAATTTGACGTAATAGTTTATGCAAAATTAACGATTGAAAATGCAAATATGTGAATTTTTTGTCATTTTTAATTTTTGAAATTAACAATAAACTTTTGTTTCAGTTGGTCATATCTTCTATTTCAAGTAATTATATATTATTTATTCGGATCGACGAAGTCTCTCTACGATACAGTACAATGGACAGTTAATATATTCCAGAATTTGGCCGTGTTGGAGGTGTTGCATGCAGCTATAGGAATAGTGAAATCAAATCCCATCATCACGGCTGTTCAAGTAGCTTCAAGAGTAGTTGTGGTGATCGGTGTTCTGATAGCTACGCAAGCGCCTCGGGACTCTATAGGTTTAACTTTGTGTCTTCTGGCTTGGTCCATCACAGAAATTATTAGATACTCTATGTATGCTCTCTCATTAGTGAATGCAGTGCCATATTTTTTGACTTGGTTAAGGTAAGTAGATTTTCAAAATTTATTCAGAAATGTATTTCTTCTTGCGTTTAGTTCGTCTGCAGCAGTTAATTGGGATATAAATATTAAATAAGGAACAGTCTGCCAATATAATCATGGCTCCACCAAAAATGCTTTTGATTGTCACCAATAACTTTCAAAGTTCTGTCCAGTCTCTGTAATGACTTCTTGTGGGCCAATATACTGTTATATATTTATTAATTCTAATTTATTGTTTTTATTATTTATCAAAGGTTCTATATTTATAACACTCACAACTTAATTTAAAGTTTATTTATAATAATTTATCTTACAATAATAATTTATTTATACGCACGTTACATTTCAAACGCTGCGCGCTTTTCTTCTGACTGATCCTCACAATGAAAGTCCCGTTATTTATATGTAAACATCTGTTAGACTGGAAGAGTCGATGGGCTTCTCGTCTGGTATAGAATGTAAACATGTTCTTCGGAGGCTCGGGCCGCCGGCTGGTTCTTGTTACCTGAAGTTTTTTTTCGACCCCTTCTGGAGAGTTCCAATCGGTAGTGTATGACCTATAGTTTACGGTTTTGGGTCAGAATTTATCGTAACATTGCCCCCCTCTTAAAAGATGGTTCCTCCTGGAACCTTGTCGGGACTGGAACTGGAACGGTATGCTGGTATCGACAACTGGACCCTCTTTTACAACTTCCAGTTGTATAAAAATGACAAAGGACGGTTTTCTCTCCTCACAAGTAACTATGCGGATTGCAACAGACTAACACCTGGACTTCGGTGTCTTTAAAGATCTCCTCCACCATATTTCAGATAACCCTCCAATCTAATTGGCGGCACTCCAACATTGGCATGGCTAACCTTTGCACGTCGGACTCTAGTACGTGCTCTCAATTGAAGTAAGGCTTCCCATACATCTCGGTAGGTAGGTTGGTCACGGGCAGTGTCTTTTGTTACCAGGTAGAAAAGGTAACGTGATGCATCTTGGAGTTTGAAGATTTTACGGGGAGCTGGCACTGGGCATTGAAGTTCTGCAACTCGACCAAACTTCCTTCGAAAGACGGATGCCAACCCTGAAATCAAATCTTGACTGTCGTTTTCTCTTTATTCCGATATACTCTGTACGAATACAAGAAACCAATTCGCTAAGGATTTTTGCTTTGTTGAGGAGATATGTCGTGGAATGTAAATTTTAGATTTCCCATGTCTCTATTAACATCTTTATCAACGTCTATTTTGCCTTGCATTTCTTAGAAGGCACAGATTAAAGCAAAAATCTGAATTTTGTTTCGAAAATTAGTTTGCGGATTCTTTTTAATTTTATTTAATTTTATTTTATTCTATTTTCTTCTTTTTTATTCTAATTTATTTTATTATAATTTTATTTTATATTAGTTATTCTATTTATATAGTCATTTAGTTATTTTAGTTTAGTCTATTTTATTTTATATAATTTTATTTAGTTCTCTTTATTTTTATTTAATTTTACTAAATTTTATTGAATTCCACTTAATTTTATTTAACTTCATTTAATTTAATTTTTTATAATTTTGCCTAATTTTATTTAATTTTTTATAATTTTTTTTTATATTTTTGTATAATTTTGTTATAATTTTTATCATTTTTTATAATTTTTCATAATTTGCTCTATATTTTTTTTTATTTTCAAATTAATCAAATCCATACAGTCAATATTACTACTAGCATACGCGGATGACATTGACATTGTAGGAAATACCGTCACCAATGTAAAAGAAACCTTCAATAAATTAGAGAGAGAGGCAAAAAATACCGGTCTAAGGGTCAATGAAGAGAAAAATATATGTGCATTAACAGACAAAAGAGACGAGATAGAATAGGACAAAATGTAACAATAGACCCCTATACCTTTGAAAGAGTGGAGAGTTTTAAATATCTCGGAGCGACTATCACCACAGATAACGATATCACGGAAGAGATAAAAGGGAGAATTCAGGCAGCAAACAGATGTATGTATAGCCTCCACAACACTATTAAATCCAAGAGGCTAACACGAACATCAAAAATCACCATATATAAAACAGTAATTAGACCGGTGCTCATGTATGGGTGTGAGACGTGGACGCTGACAAAAGCAATGGAAAGTAAACTCAGATGCTTTGAGAGAAAAATCCTCAGAAAAATCTTCGATCCCTATCACGATCCGAATACTAACCAATACCGAATGAGAACAAATGTCGAGGTCAAACAAATGTATAGTGCTAGCGACGTAGTCCAAGAGATTAAATCCCAACGTCTAAGATGGGCTGGCCATGTTCATAGGCTCCCTAATAACCGCCTTACCAAGTTAATCTGGGAAGAAGTCCCGACAGGTAGAAGGCCCTTAGGACGTCCACGAATGCGATGGAGAGATAATATATGATCAGTTTTGAGAACAATGGGGCTATCCACTGACTTAAACATCATGGACGTCCGTTCGAGATGGAAGCAGGTTGTGCAGTCAGCCAAGACCCACCCCGGGTTGTAGTGCTACCAGAAGAAGAAGAAGAAGATACAGTCAATCTCGATTTTGTATAAACATATATTTTATAAAACTATATTAGGATTATATTATGGATGTATATTATGTATATTACGGTATACTGCAAGGTTATTACACCCGTCTCGATTTTTCGAGTAACGCCAAATAGAATTTCGTATCCATGAAAACATCATACAGAGCGCTAAGAAGTATTCGCTTCAAAAATATTATTTTTAAAATCATGAATTGCCTGAATTCAAGATCAAGCTTTCTTTTATCAGCTCCCGATGAAAATTCTGGGCTTATTTTATGTTATATAATTGTTTTTTAATTGTTAATGAACTACGTATTGCGGGGCGGGCGCTCATTTGTACAATGAGAATTCAAACCTCGTGGTTTGACCTGTTATAAACTCCTGGTAAGTGACCAACCTAGTGAGGAAGGGTGTCCAAAGGGGAAAGCTACGGCCCCTTCTCCAACCACCTTCTATCCCTATCCATAGCGCGTTACCTTCATTTGGAATTAGAGTAGGTTCACCACGACAGGGTAGTGGTAAGAGATTTCATTTTCTTCTTCTAAATAATTAATCATGTCATTAGTCGACAATTATAAGAAATTAATTTACACCTGCCACGGGTTTGCAATTAACTGTCGTGTAATAATACTTACAAGATAATTACAACAAATTCACTTACAAATGCCATAGGTTTGCAATTTAATTGTAATAAAAGTTGATATTGATGAAGTCAAATTTTCCTAGTCTTATATGAGTGTGTCAAACATGTATTTTGAGAATTATTATACAAAGTGATTTGAAGTTTTGTACCTTCCCATATATATTATCTATCAAGCTTGTAATATCCAAGTCATACTTGAACAATTTACAATGATTATGTAGTTTGCCATCAAAAAACAAGCGTATTGTTAGGAACGAGCGTCAACTTAATTAATGAGATTATAATGTCATTTTTCGTGATTCAAAACAATACTTAAAAATATTTACATACAATAAGGTACTAAGTATGTAGTTAAAAATACAATAGCAACAACAAAAGACATTATAATGAACTTAAGTCGCTACATTTACTTGCGATAGTTTTTTTAGGCAGTGCAACAAAGATCGACCTCTTATCAGTCATCGGGCGATTTGCCATTCTAGTAAATCCTATTAAAGAAGGCTGTTAGAACAGATATAATTTCGTCTGGTTTTGGGGATATTCTTATTTTTGATTGTTGAATGTCTTTCTCAACTTTATGTTTGAGGTAATTACTATTTAAATGGGAATAAGCCACAATTAAAGGTTAAAATACGTTTATTGGCGTTTCAATTCCCACTTCGGAAATATTTCCGAAGTGGATTTTTTTAATTCCCATTTAAATCGTAATTACTTTAAAATTCCACAAGCAAATAGCTTCAGAATTTATATTTGAATTTGCACCAGATACTAATAACGATGAAGATGATGATATAAAAATGTATCTCGAAACTACATGTCAACTATCTCTTTCTCTGACAACATTTATTCCGACAACAGTTTCGACAACAAATAAAAATGCTAAACCTAAGAAAGCTCTTGGCTATGATTTGATAACAGGCAAATTATTCAGAAGCTACCGAGAAAAGCAGTGGGGTTATTAACAATAATATACAACAGCATACTACGCCTTCGATAGTTTCCAATGCAATGGAAATTTGCTCAAGTTACTATGATTCCTAAACCTGTTAAGCCCGCAACACAAGCAGATTCATATCGCCCTATAAGCATACTCCCAATAATGTCGAAATTATTAGAAAAGCTACTATTAAGTTGTTCCCATAACGAAATGATACCACAACACCAATTCGGATTTAGACGTGAACACTTAACCATCCAACAACGCCACAGAATATTAAATATAATTAAACAACTCTCGGAGAGAAAAAGTTTTGCGCTGGAGTGTTTCTAGATATACAACAAGGATTTGATAGAGTATGGCTTAAAGGTCTCCTCTAGAAACTGAAATTACATCTAACAGACCAACTATAAATTGAAGACAGCTAGTCAAATTATCAGATCATACAATCTGGCGTACCTTAGGGTAGCGTTTTGGGTCCATTTCTGTATCTGATATTACAGCAGGCGTTCCAACTAGCAACGATACCTTCTTAGCTACTTTTGCCGATAACACGTGATTTTTGGCAGTGGATGTCGACCCTAATGTAGCATCACAAACAGTACAAATTCATTTAGACCAATTACAGAACTGTCTTAAGCGATGGGAAACGCACCTTAAAACGAAACGGAAACAACTAGATCTTGAATTAAAAAATATTAACTAAATATTTAACAAAAGGTCTCAGTTATCTCTTGAAAATAAACTGCTTCTGTACAAAGCTATACTCTTACCCATATCTGTAATAAACCTTCAATTACGAAGATACTTCAAACATTCCAATCCAAAATACTCCGTATGCTAGCTAAAGTTCTATGGTATGTATCTAACCAAACACTTCACAATGACATCC